GTGGGGGGGTGGTTATGGCCACACTGCACTCCCTTTTCCTCTGGGGATTTTGGGCATGCACGCACACATGCCCAGCCTGATTTTCAAGCTGTCTGGTCCAGAACTCAAACTGCACAGCCAGCCAGGTGGGATCCAGTGTCTTAACCTCCACATCACCTGCTGGCCTGGCCGTCCCAGTTTTATCCTGACCTTCTTTTTTTTTTTTTTTTTTTTTTAAAATGTCCTTTGTTTTTTTTTCTCCTCTTCTAGGCCTCCCAGTGTTGGCCTCTCTGGGGGTGAGGAATAAAGCAAGGATGCCATTCCTGGGCCTTCTCACTCTGCACTCTTCGTAGGCAACGCCATCGACATCGACGCCGTGATTTAGCCATTAACCACAATTACTTCCAATCTCTATAGCCAACTGCTTCCTTAACATCAGCACACAAATGGATGGCAGGTGTCTTGAACCTGACAGTCCCAAAACGGCGCAGTATCTCCCACATGCTCCTCCCAAGGCTGTTCTTCCCTAACCTGACCACTTACACTACCCTCAGCTGCTCAGCTGTACAAACCACAACCTAAAAGTCATCTTTAAAGCCCTCACTACCTCATCCAAACAAAAGCTGGGACTAGGTCTTATTGATTCTACCTCTAACATACAACTTGAATCTATTGGATGGGCTTCACATTCTTCTTCATGGCAGTTGCCACACTTTGTAATATTTGTAGCATTTCTTGTTTCATGTCAGCCCCCATTCTGTTTATTGCACTCTGGGCTCATGGATGTATGTGTGTGTCCTAAATCCCTTCAGGATGGAGAAATGGAGGAGAAGGGATTGTTGCATGACCACACTGCCTTGGGAGGGGGGGTGCTTTATAGTACAGTACCCCGCACAGAGACGGCACTCAATAAACATTTATTCAGCAAGAATCCTTGTACAGAAATGGTGTGGAGGACCTGCCAGTGACATGGTGGTTAAGGCAGGTGGATCTCACAAGGCCAACTGAATGGATTGAATCCTGGACCTGGCAGCTTGAACGATAGGCTGGGTGAGTGCATGTGCACGTTCAAAGTCCTGAAAGGAGAAATGGAACAGACTGTGGTGTGACCACCCCCCATGGGGGTGGTTCTGTCTCCACCTGGCAAGCGCATGT